CGAGTCCGGTACCCTGACCGTTGCTTCGCCGAGCCGCGCAGGACTGGATGTTTTATTCAGTTTGTTGATTGTGGCCTCTCCCCCGTCCCCTGCGCCGCAGTGTTCTTGCAGAACAAGGCCAAGCGGGACGAGTTCTTCCCCCGGAACCTGAAGAAGATGCACATGGTGATCGACAGGCTGATGATGCACTCTCACCTGAAGTTCAAAGGTCAGCCCGTCAGGTGGAGGAAGTGGCGGAGTGTGGCCAGGAGACGTGTGTGTCAAAGAGCAGCAGACAGTGTGCTTTTAGCCTTAGGCGGCCTGTGGTGTGTGCTGCCCAATTCTATGTAATGTTGCTGCCATCGGTGACAGGGTTGTCCAACTCCAGTCCTGGAGCACTGGTGTGTCTGCAGGGTTCCAACTCAAGCCCAACGCTTAACACCCTAAATCAGGTCGTTATTGGCATCATTGGACAGGTATACCACCTTTTCCAAGCTCTTCTAGTGTTGCTACCTTAAAGATACCTAGAAGCCTGCAAGCACTTCGGAGTCTGTCCTGGACCTGGGTTGTGAACCTCGAGTTTGTGAGTTTCTGGGTCCATTTCAATTTATCCCAGAGCTTCATGTGTTTCTTTGCTGGGGCTGCTGAGGAATTCCTAGTAGGAAAAAAATGATATGGGTTTTATGGTTTTAAGTGTCTGCCTCTGCAGGCAGACTGACACATCTGACAGCTCTGTCAGAGACGCCGTCACGCCACTGAAACGGGCCAGAAAGTCTTTCGGTTCCACAGTTACCTTCATAATGATGCAGTTAATTAACTGCATTCCGTCTGTTACAGTTTGTAAACTAGAAGCAATGAAAAACAGAGGAAAACTACTCTTGTGAGATGTCGCCGTGGACAAATTCTAAGCACTTTTAGTCCTTTTTCTTTGTGAGTTGAAGGTGTTTATAATTGAGAGTGTTGCACAAGCTGTCTGTAAGATTTCATGTTGGGTGTAAATCTGAGCTGCTATATAAACTTGATTGTATTATTTTATAAAACTGCAGTAGCTGTAACAGTAGGCTCTTCACACACCGGATCTGAACACCTCTTTTAGGAAGCGCAGTAGAGTTTCATTCCCCGAGTTAAGCGCCGCTAACTAACCCTACCCCTGCCCCCCCAGGCACCCTGTCCATGCTGGACTGCAATATCTTCCCTGGCCTGGAGAGACCGTACCTGGACACGGAGGTCAACCTCTTCCTGCTGCCCGTGCTGGACAGCGAGGGGGAGGACGCGCTGACGAGGGCGGGTGAGGACCGGTGTGGGGGGGCGGGAGGCCGGGGGGCCGGGATCTCGGACTCTTTCCAGACCGGCTGGGTCTTCAATAAACATGCAAACGGATAAACACCGCTGCTGCTCCCTTGTGCCCGTGTGTGTCTCCAGGCTCCGGCACTGCGCCCCTGTTCTCCCTGCTGCCGGGGTACAGGGGGCACCCCAGCTTCTCCTCGCTGGTCGCCAAGCTGCGGAGCCAGGTCCTGGCCATGCCGCGATGCCAGCTGTCCCACACCATCCTCACGGAGAAGAACTGGTGAGCTCGCCCCCTCCTCATCCTCGCCCTGATTCTGCTCCCGCGAGTTACATCCTACTGTAACCCCCATCCAGGTCACAAGCCCTCCCCCAGGCTGGGAGATTAGCAGTCGCCCTGGCTGTGACCCCACGTCTGTTCAGGCGTGTTGAGATACCCACAGCAGCAGTCTGCACCTCACAACCACACTTTCATTCAGGTGACATTGCAGTTCCCCTTGCCGCCACGGGAGGGGGCGTGTGAGCAGGGCTGCGCTCAGGCTGCAGCTCTGAGCTCTCGGGTCTTTGTCGTGTGGGACTGTCTGGTGTTTCCTAGATCATCAACGGCTCTCAGGAAAGAGCTGAGGAAGTCAGTCCCCTGTTGTGAAAATGGGCCAAAAAGAAAGAGTCTTGTCTACTGGTAGAAAAGCAAAGAATGTGCCGGGTTGAATGCTTTAGTGATGCCATCAGGTGATCTGCCTGAGCAGGCTCTTGGAAAAGAAATGGCACTAATTAGTGCCTCTATATTGTATTTGTGTATGCTCAAGGCTGGGACTAGAGTGTCTCATCCAGGGTGCGATCCTGCCTTGAGCCCTGTGATGCTGGGATGTGCTCCAGGTGGTCGTGACCATTCCTGTGAATTAGTACCTTTCCGATACAGGATGGGTTGATAGGAATTTGCAGAGTCCATACCCTGGCTCTGTCCATGCCAGCTGTGCATGCTGAAGAGACAGGTGTGGAAATAAGGGCTCTGAACTGTCATGTGATGCTGTGCCTGGTGTCCCGGCAGGTTCCACTACGCCGCTCGGATCTGGGATGGGGTGAAGAAGTCCTCCGCGCTCTCGGAGTACAGTCGGCTGCTGTCCTAGACTTCCTCGCCCCCGACGACTGGTGTCCCGGCAACGGAGGCGGTCACCGTGGAAACGGGCTCCATTTGTCTTTTGGAGGCTGATGGGTGGGAACCAGATGGTTGCAGAGGACTGGCTGTCCCACTGGGGAGAAGAGGACAGTGGGGTGTG